CCCCAAAACCCCAAAACCCCAAAACCCCAAAACCCCATTCATCTAAATTTTGATTGAACAATCTTCACAAATTATTACTCTAGATCATCTTTCTCTTTCTTGAGTACTTGTTCATGTTGTGAAACTTTGATGTTATCTCGTCATTCAATTTAGATTTGTAACCTTTACCTCCTATTTCTTCTTTTTCATCTTTCCCATCACAAAAGTCTTCATCAGAATCCTCTCTTTCGTTAGTAATATCTTTAGAGAGACTAGTTTCTTCTTCATCAAATTTTTCCATGATCCGAGGAGAAGATTCTAATTCGTTCATCATGCTTATTTCTTTCACTTCTTCTTGGTCTTCTAGCTTTTGTAGCTCTTCTTTATCATTCTGGTCTTGGAGCATTCCATAGACACCCTTAATTTTGTGGAGATGGCTCTTCACTTCTTTGGAGGCAGTGGAATTCGTAGCATTCTTCCCCCAGTATTTAGCATTGCATTTCATGTATGCTTGGGCATGTCTGAAGTCTCCTTTTCCAGCAAGCTTAGCAGCTTGCTGGACTATGTTAATTCCGACCATCTCTGCATCAACTTCAGCTTCTACTTCTTCCTTGTTGGAGCTGATCTCTTGGACATGGGAGTTTACTCTGATACATTTCATGCCGTCTAGTTTGGTATAAAATATCTGAGTCTGGAACGGGAGATGTGTCAATTCTTCAAAGTCAAAATCTGACGAGTTCTTCAACTCCTCTTTGCTCTTAATCTTGTATTCAAAAGTTATTTCAGATTCAGCCGTTACGTTTCCATATGATTTTGTGAAGATATTCTTAGTGTGGTTTAATTGGCTCTCATCCTCGTTTTTAAATTCAAGTCCTTTATGCAAAATGACTTTCATCTTCACATCAGTTGCAATTATGGGTGATGCCAATATGTTTGCAAAGTTCTCAGTTAGTTTATCAGCTTCTACTCTTTGGATATCGCCTCCTGTCTTTTCAGGGATGCATCTTAGAGTCTCGAGGTCACACTCTTCTCCAGCGATGCTGATGATGTTGACGGTGACTCCATTCTCATGAGCCAAGTCGGCTACTTTTGTGTAAAATTCAAGGGCTTCTTGCTGTAGCTTGCCTTCGATAGAGCCGAGTCCAACATTTGAGAGCCCGTCTGTGCAAAGAACTACACTGCTTCCAGCAGAGCCTTGCGCAGCCATGGCCACTGATGTTAGTAAAGCTGGTCCCAGCGCAGTTGGGCCTGACTCTTCGAGTTCGTATAGCTTCTCAGTGAGCTTTTCGCTAACTTCAGTAATAGATTTTTGCAAGTGGGTCTCGGTGGCTTCAACTCCATTCTGAGCTAAGAATTCGTAGTCACTGAGTTTGTCTCCTGCAATGGTCTGGGGCTGTTCGCTGCAATCACCATGAACAGTCACTTCATCTGAGAAAGAGACCAATCCCACTTTGAGTTCTGGAGACTTGTCAGCCATTTCGATGATTTGGGCTTCGATAGCAGCCTGGACTCACTGCAGCCTTGAGATGTAGGTTGAGTTTCTGCTTTCACTGTAGAATTGATCTGATCCATCGGAAAACTTCATGAGTTCCTGGAGTTCTTTGAGCTTGTCACCCTTGATTTTGAGTTTACCTTTAACAGGAGTAGTGACGCACATTGAGCCGGATACGTCTAAGCAAAAGATCACTGAGCTTGAGTCAGTTCCCTTTTTAATTTTATCCTCATCCATTCCAAGTACATAATGTACATACTCTTCTGTAGGAATCTCTTCCTCTTCCAGCATGACTTGGTTGTGATGACAACAAAACTCGCATTGCCAAGTCTCTTCTTCTTCCTCTTCATTTTCATTGTATTTTAAATCTTCTTTTTCTTCTTCGTTGATATCTTTGGCTTCTTCCTTTTCTTGTGTGCCAGACTCAGTTAAATCTTGGGATTGGTCTTCTTCCTCTTCTTGAGGTTCCTCAGGGATGGAGAGTTTCTGAAGCGATTCTTCAAGTGGCATTTCTTCTTTGGTGTCTTGTTTAGCATCCTCCTCTTTGGACTGTTCATTTGAAATTTCAGAGACAGCACGTTTACCAGCTAATTTGGAGTATTTGTTGAATACACTCTGACAATTCTGACAGAAAACCGGATCACCAGCAGCTAGCTGAGCATCCTCAAGGATGACATCAAAGCTCTCTGAGACAATATTGGTGTTGACTTCTTCCTTGAACTTTCTGTTCTTCCTGACTGCTCTCTTGAACTTCTTCTTGCCATTTGGTAGCTTCTCGTTAATGCCAGTTGAAGCATCCATTTTGCAATCTTTGAGATCTCTTAATCTGACAATTTGCTGAAAAATGTTAATACTGGGATTTGAATGGGTAAAATTAGCTAATAGAATTGATCATTACTTGTTTCTCTTCTTCATCACTATCGCTCATGTCTTCATCGAGGGAGTCTGAGTCTACTGAGACAACGTCATCGTTCTCTGCCGCTTCTAGATTGAGGGTTAAGGCTTTGAGTTTTGGATGGAAAGTGTCCTTTTTCAGGATTTATAGAAAACATTGCTTTAAGGATTTTATGGAACTGCTTTTGATAATACCTTCATTGTTGGCATCTTTTTGTCTTTTGTGTCTTGGAAAGTATCCCTTTTTGCTTGCAAATTTAGCCATTGGTTGTTTTATGTACTTTATTTTAGAGAAACAATTAGTATAATCTTCCATTCTTCCACTTAAGTAGGGGTTTTGGGGTTTTGGGGTTTTGGGGGTTTGGGGTTTTGGGG